TTATATTAAATAATAAATTAAATATATAGCTACCAGTGCAGTGTACATTTTAAATTAATCCGCTTAATACAGGTACATCAAGAACCCAGGAAATATTTAAATATGTTTTTGTATGTATTGTTAATATATTTTTTATGTGTACATTTGTTGTGTTTGTGTGTGTGCAAATCCCTGTGACAACGATTCATCTTGTACTTAATAACCTTCCAGCCACAATTCTCTGTGAATGACATGTTTCACGGAAGATGCTGACACTGAGCTTTTTGAATGCATAGAGGATATATTTACTCACCCTGCATGTGTGTGTGTGTGTGTGTGTGTGAGAGAGAGAGTGAGTGAGTTCAGACAGTCTTGTCTGTAGAGATTAAGCCGAGACAGGCAGAGTCTTGTGGTCAGATGAAGACGTGAGCGTGTGTAAATGTGTTTGAGTTGTGGTCAAAATGATTTGACAAGCATTTTTTTTTTTTTTAACTAAGTACGTGTCGTCAACCTCCAGAAGGGAAAAACGTGTGACTACGACACCACAACATAAGCTGAACGCACCTTCAATACAACTATTAACAAAGACACAGATGTAAGCAGGTGATCAGTAATCATGTGACCCACGATAACACTCCGAGCCACACAACGAGATATAAATATAATTGAGACAGCTGTGGATTAGCAGCATGTCTACCGAATACACCAGCAGCAGCAGTGTTTGCATGGGTAGACATCCAGCTCACACAATCTACTTACTTCTGCACTGTTTGGCTGGAAGTGGTAACCTGAGCTTATGACGGATGACAGATGAGAACGCAGAGGTGAGATGAAGGGATACTCTAATGATGACATCCTGAACTGTGATGTTCCAATCAACAGGCCAGGCAAAGTAACACTTAATTCTATGGCTGTCAGATATGACTGGTTCTTAAAAAATGTTCACACAGTCACGCAATGCCGTCGCTGGATATGCTTTCTATATAGCATGCGGCTGGTTTCCCAAAGCAGAGGTTAAACCTCCTTGAACTACATTACATTGTGCTTTCTGTGGTGAAAACCAGTGTATAATTAAAAACAGTATGTGACAGCTGGAGTGTTTCTTGAATTGTCATATTCTGCATTTTTCTCAACTATATGATGCACAAAGACATGGCGTTCAGGTTTTAGCCAAATCTATTTATTTTATTTTCAAAAATACATAAAAAATGCAATTCATACATACAATAACCTATTCCGAGATGAGCAAGTTTTTAATTTCTAATCCTTAATGTTTGAAAAATATTCTCACAAATGTCTGAAAACAAGCTCACAAACTTGAATATCCTTGAAAATATCTGAAACAAACACACACACACACACACGTCTAAAAAAGTCTAAAAATATCCTTAGATATCCTTGAAAACTTAATATCAAATGTCAAAAAATACCACATGTAAAATATCCACACAAACTAAAAAAAAATCTGAAAATATTCTTAGAAACTTTTGAAAAATATCATCATAAATGTTTTAAAATCCTCAAACTCAACAGATTTATCAACAGAAGTAATGGGAAGCCCTCGGAAATATACAGGTTTATGTATTAGCTCTACTTTGGGGGCAAATTTGTACGTAAAATGTAATAAATGACAAAACCTCTCTATGGGGACATTTACATTTTCAAAAAAAAAAAAAAAAAAAAACTAAAAAATACTGTCATTTTAAAATCTAAAGAGTTTTCTATTAAAGACAGGGTTATGGTGTGGTTTAGGTCTACAGTTCTTCTAAGGGTGCTTTCACACCCTTAGAAGAGGGGGCAGTCGTGGCCTAATGGTTAGAGTCGGACTTGTAATCCGAGGGTTCGAGCCTCAGGTCTGGCAGGAATTGTCAGTGTGGGGAGTGAATAACCAGTGCTCTCTTCCACCCTCAATACCACAACTGAGGTGGTTCCCGGACGCTGCAGTAATATGGCTGCCCTTTGCTCCGGGTGTGTGTGTTCACTACTGTGTGTGTGCACTTGGATGGCTTAAATGCAGAGCACAACATCCGAGTATGGGTCACCATACTTGACCACACGTCACTTCACTCACTCACACCTGGCTCGTTTGGAGCGTTTGTTCGGAACCCGTCCTGTTTTCTCCCTTAGTTTGGTTCGTTTAGGCACATGTGAACACGGCAATCGTGCTCAGGTCCGGACCAAAATAATCGGTCCGAAAGTGCCTGAACGGAGTAGTCTCGGCCCGATTGCAAACAGATTCTGAAGCGGTTCACTTGTGGTGAGAAAGCAGTCCGACCCAACAGACCAACGAACCAAGCGGTATCAAAATTCATAACAGGAAATATGTTACATAAAAAGCAGCAGTGTCTGATTCTGTGAGTGAGCACATTAGTTACTGCAGTTGAAAACCAAAGAGCGCCTCTTCATCTCAAAACATTGTGTGACGCAATATTGTAATGAATTAAGTCCCTGTTTCCGAACAAAGCAAACGATCTACAGGTCTGAATACACCCTAATTAGCTTTATATAAACAATAAAAGTCCTCATTTAGATAGTAAATGTGTGTGTGTGAGATGCGTTGGGGTGGGGTACGAGTGGGCCTGTGTGGCTCTAGGGCGGATGGTAAACGGACAGTGAGATCCACTCCATCCATAAGCTCTATTGAGAAGCCAGAGATAAACATCATGTTTTGTATGCTGCATGTGTTAGCGCGTGTCACTTTTGCACTAGCCTGTGTATGTGTGTATCTCCACCCACTGAGCTAATAAAGAGCTCATTCTGTCCTGACAATAAAACCCAAAACTGCCCTCAAATGCACACGCACACACACTCATGTCGTCATCCTCCTCCAAACAAAGAGAGCTGTGTGTTTGCTTTTTTAAATTTTTCTGGATTCTGTGTTTTATGGTTTGATACAAATTGAATACAAAAAAAATGCATAAAACTTTAATTCATTAATTAATTAAAACTTTAAACAATTAAATGACTATTTTTCAAATGTAATCAATTAAAATTTTAACAATTTAACAATATTTTTTTGGCAAACATAGTGTGGCATAACAGAGGTTTACTACTTAAATTAAAATTTACATTCTGCGTTATACAGTAAACTGCTTTATTATGACTGGATTCTGTCTGTGTTATAGCTGCAGAAACTCACACACACCCACACCCACACACACACACACACACACACACACACACACACACACACACAGTCAATCTTAATCAAATCTCCAGAGTGAAGAAGAAATCATGGCCGGCCACTTCAATCAACACTACATCGGCTCTGATGCTGATGACTGCATTGAGAACGTCTGACATCGAAATAACATCATTGTCATGTTTAATATGATGACAGACTTTGTCGAAGGGTTTTGATTTCCTGTTGGCAATGAAGGGAAAAAGGTCTAGAAAAGTTTTAAGGAAGCAAAAAGGTGCTCTTAATATTGTTTGACCTCAATGACTTTCATCAAATGGTCAAAAACTGTTGAAACATTCTTCAAAATATCTTCTTTTGAGCTTACCAGAAAAAAAGAAAGTCATATGGTTTTGGAACGACATGAAGGTTTATGATAGAATGTTTATTTTTAGATAAACTATAGCTTCAATGGATTCAAATTGGTCACATGGCTAAAACTGGCACTCTGATGACTTTGTAAAGTAAAACATTCTTATCATGTAGCCACTGTGGGTTTAAATAAACAGAATCTGGTGAGTTCTGTTAGGTCAGTTTTGACAAAAGAGGGATGAAATTTAATAAGGAAGGGAATGAGTATTTGGGCGTCTATCATGCTTGATGCCAGATGGCAAATGTTCCGATGTTCAGTGGAACATCAACAACGGGACAACAGAATTCAATTTTTGTGGAATTTCCACACGCGTGTGGCAGGAAGGTGATGAGTCGAGTCCCAGCGGGCCGTCTGCAGGAGAACATAATTGAAACAACACCCCTAACTCCATCAACATCAAGTCAAATTCCAGTCAGGATTAGAGCTTTAGCCCAGACTATATAATACATGCCATAGAGTGGCCAAGAAATGTCTGAAAAGGAGCGTTTGTCCTGGAATAAAGGGACGTCACAAGCGTGCAGGGTTGAATGTGAAAGCCTGTTGTGAGTTGAGAAGTGTCAGATTGAAGGTATGAATCAGATGGAGGAGTAGAGTGTGGGATTGTGGGGTAGGGAGGCGGTGTAGATGTGGAGGAATGGCAGTGAGTCACTGACATCAAAGAAAAAATAATGGAGGAGAGAGGAAATAAGAGGGATAAAAGAAGAGAGGAATAAGACAGTACTGTCTTACAGGGAAGTTCAACGTAGTATTAACAGAAAATAATTACAATTCATTACTTAAGTTTGTTAAAACACTTTAGTGATACATGAACTAGCAATGAACAACAATGTTCAATGTTTAAAATGTGTAAGCATTTGTAGAAAAATGCTGTTTCAAATGCTTTTTCAATAATCTGCTCAATAATCGCTCAGATAAATGTCAAAATACATAAGAAAAGGTCTATTGTTACTTCATTTTCGTTGTGACTAATTTTAATTAACCGAATTGAAACAATCGAAGTCTCTGGGGTATTGCATTGGGATAAACATTACAATCTATATGATTCAAAAGTCACAAGACTAAAAATCACTCATTTGTGCACAGTTACAGTGAGTATTTCTTGTAATGTAGACCCTGTAACCTTTTCATGATACATGGGAGACAATTTAAGTAACTTCATAGCCCAAATAACAGATTTTTTGTACCAAAGAATGAATGCAAGCACTGTAACACAAATTCAACCTACACATTTCTGCTTTTAATGCCTTGCCCTGTAGACTTCCACTGCAAGCGCATTCACAGTAATGTGCTGTTTACTCTGACTAAGGTCTACAGAGAGAGGAAAGAGAACAGAGAGGACTCAAATGAGAAGTTCTGTGCGGCTGCATGGCCTTCTGATGAAGGCGATGCAAATATCTCCTGCCCAGAACACAGAGAGGAACTCATGCTGAGAATGATCAAAGGACAAGGTCTCTATCTGACAGCAAATGAAGGTCCATCAGCCCAACAATTACCAGGTTCAGATTTCAAAACGCACTTTGTGCCACTCTTTGTGCAGTGTTGCCAGATTGAGCTGTTTGAAGTCACCGAATTTAGCTAGTCTTGATTGAATTGTGCGAAAGATGTGCTTAGGCAGGTAGACCAAATATTTTGTCATGATTTGGGTGCATTTTTAAGGAAATATACAATGAAGAAATTAAATAACAAAAAGGTTGTTCAATGCTGTCCATAAACTGTGTTGCCAAATTCCGAATGTTCTACACAAGTAGCTTATACACAAGTGACTTATCCAGTTTGGCAGTAAAACAAGTTTCCTAAATAATCTTAACAATGGCAAAGTGAGAAGAAATGTAAAATCCTCAATGCTTAATGATTGTGTGAAAAGAGCATTTTCATGTGACACTACTTAAAAACAAATTCCAATGCTAAGGATTACAGATACTCTCTAGATGAGAGCACAGGATTATTCAGAATGAATGGACATCAGTTGTGTTCCATATTCTGACAGCGTTTTTGGGAGCTGTGACTCTATGAAAAAAAATTGATTCATCTAACTGAAGGTACATAGGTAATATTATGCTCAAATTAGAGTTTGGAAAGACAATCTGGCAACCGTATCTGTGTCGGTGTGTGTTTGTTTAAGTGTGACAGGGACAGTCTGAGAGAAATCACTTCTAATTACAGCAACAAGTAGTTTGGCTTTATAGCTATACTTTCTTTCAAACACACAAGGCAAAACATACATTTGTGCGAACAGAGCACACATTCACATTTGTAATAACAGAGTGAAGAGGAAGAGTGACGTCATAGCATAGCACAGCTGTCAGCTTGTAAACAGTTTACACTTCACTCTCATATGTTTTGTAAAGAAATACATTTAAGCTCAAAATCTGATCTGGTAAAAACAAACAATAGGCTAAAAATAGAGAAGAAGAGAAGTAAAGTATAACTTGTCTTGGATAATCCAACATAAGTGGTAGAGCTTTTAAGACAGTGTTTATGTCTTCTGGTTAACTGATGGAAAAACACACCATCACACACACACACACACATGCGTTAATCCCTCACTACACTGTTAACATGGGATCTTGTCAGTGTTTGCAATCATACAAAATCTCTTTTTCTAAAGACAGCTCCAACTATCTCAAAGCTGCCATGGATTACATGATGTGATTCCTTAAGTTCAGTCCCATAACACAACATTACACACTATTGCTGCAAAGTCTGGCTTTACATCAGTAATCAGCAGTACACATAGAGGTCTACTCACTGATAATAATAAGGACTTGACAAATGCTAGAGAATCTATCAGATGTGGCAGGACTTCACTAATGAATCATGCTGATGATCTGGTAAAAACAAACAATAGGCTAAAAATAGAGAAGAAGAGAAGTAAAGTATAACTTGTCTTGGATAATCCAACATAAGTGGTAGAGCTTTTAAGACAGTGTTTATGTCTTCTGGTTAACTGATGGAAAAACACACCATCACACACACACACACACATGCGTTAATCCCTCACTACACTGTTAACATGGGATCTTGTCAGTGTTTGCAATCATACAAAATCTCTTTTTCTAAAGACAGCTCCAACTATCTCAAAGCTGCCATGGATTACATGATGTGATTCCTTAAGTTCAGTCCCATAACACAACATTACACACTATTGCTGCAAAGTCTGGCTTTACATCAGTAATCAGCAGTACACATAGAGGTCTACTCACTGATAATAATAAGGACTTGACAAATGCTAGAGAATCTATCAGATGTGGCAGGACTTCACTAATGAATCATGCTGAAAAAAAATATTGTCAATTAACGTTAAATCAGTAAAGTACACCAGGACATAGTAGTCTACTGCATCATTAACAACCTCATGCTCAGAACTGACCCACAAGATTGGGAACGGCACCAAGCAAATACATTTTCATTTTCATAATTCCTTTAGTGAATTTTGTATAAACAGCACAGACAGCACATTCAAATAAATAATTTCTTTAAGGTTTCTTTCATCAAAACAGACATTTTGTTTAGTTTATGTCGTTTTTAACACTCTTTCTGAGTCTTAGAATTAAACAGGGAACAATGTCAATTGTGGTTAAAGAGTACTGCTGAATGTACTGACAACAAGCATTAATGGTAAACTAAAATATACTTTAATGTCATTTCATTGAAACTTGTATGTCATGTATTTAAGTATATTTGTAATAATGAAGTTGTAATTTAAAGTAAAGTAAACTTTCAAACTTTTAATTTGACATTATTATAAAGTGTACCGAAGTGTGTTAAGAAGAAAGTGTGTTCTTTTTAAGTACTATTAAGTGGATATTTCATTTCATCAATATTTTATCATCTGCAAGTACAGTTGTTTAAAAATTATACATTTAAGATTTGAGGCAAATTACAATGTCTATGTTTTTGTCCATACAATGAAAGTCAATAGAGTTCTTTATCAATAGTGTATACAGGTTAGGAACAACAACACGAGGGTATACTGTAAGTTTAAACGTTGTAAATAAAACAAAGATTACTGAAGTATGTTTTTTTAATGCTATTTCAATTTTCAAAAAATTTACTTTAAAATATCACATTTAATTGAATGTGTACAGTTGCTGTTTCTTTGTAATTGTTTGTAAAATGTACTAGCAATATCTGTGTGAAAATTGTTTCTACACCATTTTTTAATGCCTTTAACAAATCCCACATCCACTGTAGTGGTTTAACTGCACTGGATCATACACGGATGGTAATCAATTGAGTGTATGATTGATTACGTCCAGCACTGAACCCTCGTGTGGCATAACTCAGCTGTAGCGTAAGAGGTCTGTCCTGAGAAGCCTTCAAAATAAAGGCAGAAAGTGGATCACTCTCCATCCACTTTGAGGATCAGCGCTGATCTGCTAAAGCAGGTGAGTCGGAGACAAAAATAAAGGTACAAATGAGCAAATGCAGATCAGGTCAGAAATTGGAGTGAAGTCTAAAACTGCCGGCTGCTTAGAATACATTGGCCTGTCTGTACTCTAATGAGATCAGCTCCTGCACAGGTAAATGGACTGGGATTACTGAGAGATCAGACTCCAAGCAGTTATGACTCTCCAGCGGAAGGGTCAATCCCATAATGCAACACAAGAGTCGGACGCTTTAGCTGCCTCCACTACATTTAGGCTGAGCAGAAATAGGCCTCAGCTTTCATTGGTCAAACTAAAACTGTCCAGGATTTTACTTTGAAAATAGTAAATGGTTAAAAGGTTGGATGTGTTTGAAGATGGACCATGTTTTGTAATTGGTTGGTCCAAAAATGTTATAAGGAGGAAAAGACAAACCAGTCGTAAAAAATAATAGGGGCAAATCGTAACTTTGTAAATATTAAATCAGTTAAAAGAGCATTAAAGAGCATTTAACCGATAGGTCTGGCCTGGCAAGCAAAAGGTAACCATTAAACCACAGGCTGCTTGAGGGGGATTGTGTCTGAAATAAGTGTACTGTAAACTGTTCCAGATTAAACAGCTTGCTCAGGACATGATTGTTAACAGAAATAAAGGCAAAGACAAAAGGACTTACCTGAGAGCTCTGCTGAGTTTGTCGTAGTTCATCTGAGGTTTGCACTTGCGGGCGCCCCACAACCTGGCCACCTCATCAGGGTCTTTGATCACAAACTCCCCATAATCTCCCTGCCAGGCAATCACATCATGATACTCCTCCTTCCTCAGCAGCTCTAGGATAAAGTGCCACAGCTGGATCTGTCTGGAGCCAGGACTGGACTCGGGCTTATAGGCCCAGTCTGGGAACGCAAACCCTGCAGAGACGGAGAGAGGACAGAGAAGAGATCAGACTTTGGTTGATCTGTCCAGATGCAAAGAAAGAGGACTACTTTTATTCACTGACAAACAAGGCCAGTGATCCTCCCTTTCACTGCTGCCATCATCTTCAGTAGGCATGTACACTGCATCATACTGTAATAGCATGTATACCATATCAAAGTCTGACCTGGGAAATCGGCAGATCCTATTTCCCTACTGTTCAGTTTGAACTCTACTTATAAAATTAAGCCAAAATCCCCAAAACTGGGATTGGGATTGGCCAATATAAAATTCTATACAACTTTGTCTAAATAAATTGAAAATAAAACAGTAACAAAAAATTGATATATTTTGAGATTTCCTAAAGATAGCATTTTTAAAAATTAACTTAAAAACAGGAGAAATTGGCAAACACAATTAAGTGTCAAATGTTGACCAATATATATCCCTAATAACTGTATTCATTCATTAATTATTATTATTAATTATTATTTTTGAATTACAAGGTTGGAGGTTCCTGGAAATTGGCATTTATCAATATTGGAAGCTGATATTAGGTCAATCCAATCTATACACTTGTCTGTGTCAGGTTTAAAATGTAAATTTTAAATTATTTTACAAGCAGGTAACACAGCTCACAGTTAATATCAGTCATATTGGATATAATTACAAAAAACTGAATTTGATTGCCAGAGAAATAACTGATGAAATGCATATCTTTTATGCAATGCAAGTCACTTTAGAAAAAAAGCTTTCACCGAATGTATAAATGTAAATCTTCAAAAAGCTCTATATCGTCACATCTCTTATCATCAATCACCTTGAGGTCTGATTTGTCACCAGCAACCACACTCAATCTAACACACAACCAGATGCGATTGGCATTTTTTTTAGAAACAAGAAATGATTTGAAAGGGCTGCTGAGAGGATGGAGGGTGTCCAGTCACTGAGGGTGAGGACGGGTGAAGTGGGGTTAGGCAGGGTCAGGTTAGGCTGAGGCTGGTAAAGGTCGGATAGGGTAACGGCTCACAGTGGTTCCTCAACAGCTGATCCTCTTAACACTCAGTTTCACACACAGCGGCCCTTTACACACACACACAGACACACTTACTTAGCTATGTAAATCGGAACATTCTATAGACTTCTAATGTTTTTATATTAGGTAGTTATAAATAATATAACCTAACCCTAACTTACAACCTAACAGGAAACTTTCTGAATTAATGAATGGATTCTGAATAAGTTAATTTACTTTATTTTTACAAATGAAGACATCTCCAAAAGTAGGTTGTCAAATTTAGCTTACTTCTGGGTACAAATTTGTCCCCAAAATAAGGTCAAGTAGGTGCACACACACACCCAAACACAAGGAACTGCTCCTGCATGGGTAATTGTTTTTATCAGGCAGCTTTTTTTGTGTGATTTAACCATTATTAATTCTGTCTAAATGATCTCTAATGGAGCTACTTTCAGTTTAACTGCATTTAAACCCTCACTTCATTGTTCAATTCATTTCTGCAGAATAAAATGTGTCTTTTCCACCAAGTAAACCAAACCATTCTCATTTATAACTTTAAGGCAATTGGGATCATTTTTTTATCCATTTAGATCAGACTATGGAGAGTTTAAAATCAACCATGAATCAGTTTTGCTTTTATTATAAATGATCCCAACACTTCTCAACAACTTCTGACAATTTACTGATTCGTAGAATCAGACAAATCACTTCCTCCTGATGACTCAACAAATCTAAAATACACACTCAAGTGGTTGTTTTTCCTGTTTCTAACTGCTAACAACCTGAACATTTTTTCTTTCTACAAGACAGGAACCCAGTGAAAAACAGTGCCTTTTCTGTACATTTTTAAGAGGCAGTGTCAATGTCAGTGTGTTTTTATACCTGGACTGGAAAGACGTTTATCATCTTTTTACCTTCAGCAAATAAACAGAAGTACATTTACAGAACATAGCACATCCTATAACCTCTATGTGCTCTCAAAACATCACTCTCTCACACACACACACACACACACATACACACACACAGAGGGCACATCTGATTGCTCCTTTAAGAGGTCAAATGTACCATGCACCAGAGAGCGAAGTCTGACTTCAGGAGCTGCAGACAAGGATCTGGTTTCACAGCTCACGTTCTCTCTCTTTCTCTCTCTTTCACTTACACACACACACACACTCACACATGAAAAGGATCCTTACTAAGAAGTTTGAGCTAAATTCAATATGTCTGTCAAACTCCCTGATGAACAATGAAGAGGAGACACTATATGTCACACACTCACACACACACACACACACACATGCACCAGCAGGCACAGATACAGTTACTGCTCTATCGTAACACACATACAAACATCAATGTTGATTCACATTCAAGTCTACAATCACGCATACAATTCAACTCATCCAGCACCCTGATTCAGGTGTGATCTGAATTAATGCTGTGCCAGTCGCCCGATCTCTGTGTTTGTCTCAGGATGAACGGCTGTTACACATGCGAAGAACCTCTAACAGCAGTGAGCTTGTTTTTTTAGATGAAACCTCATCAGGCACTGTGTGTGTGTTATTAATCATATTACAGACGATTACAGAGTGTTCCAGCATCAATGCTCTGTTATGACCCATGTTTCACACCCACATCGTATCACACGACACCTCTGCATTTCTCAGAAATACACACCTATATATACAAAAAAAGTATGTACACTACCGTTCAAAAGTAAGCGGTCTGTAGGATTTTTAAAAAATGTTTCTGAAAGAAGTTCATCAAGGCTGATATTTTATTATTTATTTGATATAAAATAATATTGTGACATTTTAATACAATTCAAAATAACTGTTTTCTGTTTTAATATCCTTTCATTTTTTTGGAATGGTAAAGCTGAATTTTCAGCAGCCATTTCTTCAGTCTGGTGTCACATGATCCTTCAGAAATCATTTTATTATGCTGCTCTGGTGCTCAAAAAACATTTCGTATTATTATTAGTTGAAAACGTTTGCTTAATGAAGTGTGAAAAGTGTGAAAAAAATATTTTTTTAAAGAAATATTTATAAATATCATTATTGTCATTTATCAATTCAGTGCATCCTTGATGAAAAACGTATTATTTATATATATATATATATATATATATAAGGGCTGCCCTCGACTAAAGATTTGCCATGGCACACCGGCAGAAGTAATGATTATGAATGTGTCAGGTAAAAACAGTAAGGAATATATATATATATATTTGTATGTTTTTTTTTTTTTTTTTTTTTTTTTTTTTTTCCCCCTCCGCCTGCAAATATGGAATGGATGATGCATCTGTAGTTTCATATCGCAAAAAGTTGCGTTTACACAGTGCAAACAAAAATACGCAGGAACCTTCACATACGTTTAACAGCCAAGATCGAAATAGCTGAATAAGCTTTTATTTGACAACATTTTAATGAAAGCGACCAATCATCATTGTTCATCACCAACTCCAGATTGAAAGGAAACGAAGTCTTCACAAATATCTTCATTGTGCACATCTATAGAAAATGAAACCTGCACTGGTTGACAACGGTGACGCTTAAGGTCATTCTGATGTAGCATTTCATTTTCCCAGACAAAAGCCTCTTATACTAGGTTATTATTCCTCTTTATTCGAATTCTATTGGTGGATTAGAACACACATATTTTAATACACCTTTAAATTGCCAAAAAAAAAAAGATTTTAATTAGAATTTTGGAACTCAAATGAAAGATTCCAACCGTCCTATGATTTACGCTAGGGCTGCACGATAAATCGCATGCGATATTTAACGCGCATCTTGTCAGAAAAGCCGGTTCTGTAATCAGCGGTAAATCTCCATCACCTGCGTGCTTTCACATTGAGCAGCATTAACTACACAGATCCGTTGTTCACTGACGAGCTGCGCAAAACCACGTTCATATTCGCGCGATTTTTTGCGCAGCTCGTCTGTGAACAACGGCTCTGTGTAGTTAATGCTGCTCAATGTGAAAGCCCGCACGTGATGGAGATTTACCGCTGATTACAGAACCGGCTTTCTGACAAGATGCGCGTTAAATATCGCATGCGATTTATCGTGCAGCCCTAATTTACGCAATGCAGAAATTTAGGGAAAATTAAAACGGATTTCATAGGACTCTAAAAATATTAACATCTGCCTAAAATCAAGCCCTAATCTAAAAATAAAACAAGCCATGGAAACTGTACATAGCTGACAAATTTCTTGTTTTTGAAAGTGAATCAACCTGAAGTCCACGTTCGTGATGAGTTGTGTGTCCTAAGGAGCTGTGCGAGTGTCTTAACAGCATGTTGTGTTGTGTGAGAGTGTATGACCTCATCCCCCCCACCCTACTTAACCTTTGTGACCTTCGTCCCCCCCATACACCTTCTCTCCCTCTCTTTGCCCCACTCCCCCCAGGAGGAGACACTAGATCCCCATTACAGAGAGAAGACAGACCCACAAACACACACCGCATCAATAATGCAACAGCCTGATTGCCTTAGTGTGTGTTGTTGGGAGATATTCTCTGTCCTGGGATGCCCAAGTGTGTGAGAGTTAAAAAGAGAGAAGAAAACTTAGAAAGAAGAACGTGGAAAACTGAGCGAGATGACAAAGAGAGGAGAGACAAGACAAGAAACAGAAGAGAAAACAGATGAGAGAACAAGAAGGAAAAGAAAAGAGGGGGCCTGAGGAGGGAGTGGGAGAGAGGGAAACAATAGAGAGAGGGAAAGGGGGATGGGGTGAGAGAGAGAGAGAGGGATGAGATCATAGTTCTTCTAGTAGTCTGTTGTCACTCAGGTCATATTGCCTGCCTCCCTCTCTCTGAGGCATCGATTGCACTCAAGAATGTAAATCTCGCAGGCACTCCTGCACTTTAGTCTTTCATAGGAAGTATTTAAAGAATTCAGAGCATCCGAGGAAACTACTGCTCTGCTCTGCACAGTGGCATGTTCATACAGAAAGAAAGACAAGACAACCC